TGCACTATCTCCTCTAGTGCCCTGCGTTGTGCCGGAGGTGGTTGTTGAGACAGACCCTGTACCAACCTTGGTGAAAGATCTGTGGTAGGAGTTGGTGGGCTTTCGTATACCTCCCGTAGTCTCGAAGGTACACCGCCACGCGCCGGGCCCGGGCTCACAGGCGTGGTTGCCGTGCCCGACCCATATTCGTCGGTACTTGTAGCACGCTGTGCAAAATATCCAAGTTGTGGCTGGCCTCTTGTTTGCACAGGGGAATCATCGAGAGAGATTGGGTTTTCAGCCGTTCCCATGAGCGGCGTCGCGGGCACATTTCCAGCATTGACTGGTAATGTGTCGACCCCCAGTTGTTCCCCCGGTACGGGAGGATATTCCGTTCCCGCCGACGGGCTTGTCTCCTGCCCACCTCTTTCCGGGCTCGGAGGCAGAGGCGAGACGCCCCGAGAAGCATCCGGGTTGGTAGTGATGTCCAGACCTCCCTCATCCTCGCTCTCGCTCAGAGGAGACACATCCCCAGATTGTAATTGTTCCTCCTCCTCGAACTCGTCTGGCTGATCTAGGCGTGCCCTACCTTCCTCCTTATCGTCATCATTCTCCGATTCGCCGTCCGATATCACCCGCTCCACCATGTGTGTAGGGCAGTCAAAGTAGCGGGAGCATTCCTGATCGAGGAAGGTCGAGTCCCGCCATTGGCATACTGGCGGCAGCGGTGCGTTAACAGTAGGATGATGGCTTCGGCCATATGGCGAATCGGACTCTGAATCGGTGCTAATGTTTATAGCTGTGTCCCGAGCGGAACCAGCAGCATCACGGGTAGCCATAGCTGGGCAAGGGGTCGTCGATTTGCGATCCGTATATATCGTACAGCGGCGTTTGGAGGTGGACAACTGGCTATGCGGGGCTAGCTGAGATTACTACTAGTGGTATGGTAAGAGACAGAAAAGGCACACAGGCCTAACCTTCTAAGTGGAATATTTGTAGCGCTTTCGGTGGTGCGAGACGAGGCGAGGCGAGATGCGAACACAAGGCTGCGGTGGGAGGATCAGGAAGCAACACAGAGAGCCATTCAAAGACATTCGTTTCTGAATTGAGTCTCGGATGTCAAGAGCTATCGATTGGCCGTCTCGAGAGGCGAAAACTGAAAATATCGGTCCGAGACGGTGACGGTTGTTCGGGCAGATGGTTGGATGGACGGGATGTGGTGGTGAAGCCGTTCCGTCGTCATTCCCAGAGGGGGCCACGGGGGGTATCAAGGGACCTGAGACGGACAAGGACAATCTCGAAAGATGGTGCGACGGTTCACTCAGAGGAGCAAAGAAGCAAGAGTTGATAGAAGGAGGATTTCATTCTCCGGCTACAACACCGAACCGTCGAATCCCACGAGGCAGATCGTCCGTATGCCGGCGGCGATTTGCAAGCGGGAAGTCGGGGTGCAGTCTCTCGGTGCGTGTACTTGAGAGACGGGAGGCAAAGGGAGCAGGCGGCAGTGGAGGGTTCTCCGCCGCTCGGTTCCCCCGATTGAACAGGCCTTATCACCATACCTTATCTTGACCGCCCCACACCCCGAATGTGGAAGGACTCGGGTGTGGTCAGGTGCTGTTAGGCGCTGAAGCCGCCATGTGCAGGGGGCAGCTAACATCCCAAGGGCATCACCACACTTCCATCTGGCTTCTCATCTGCATCTTCTTGGAACAACGGCACATGACCCTCAAGACTTGAGACACCGCAGCCTTCATTCTCATAATGACAACTTCAACTCTTTACTCTTTTTCCTTTAAATTTGAAAGCTACCCAGAGAGCCTCCAAGTCTTTAGGCTCTTATGTTGAAATTCCATGGGTTCCATGAGGCAAGCAAAGCCCGCCATCGCCATGCCTTTCGTCCCCCTTCAACACTGCCTCTTAAACAACACGCCAAGGGACCAAGTAAACAAACTCCCCTATTCGATCCTCATACAAGACGTACTATCATCCACCATCCCCGTACCTACTACAACTTTCGCCTCCACTATTTCGTATATCGGAACTTCCGCCAGCGTGGAAGCTATATGGTGCAACGTGGGAAGTTTTTCCCAGTCGTGGCCGACTATGTTGATAGCAGTTGCCATCCCAACTGAGTCTGGTTTCGGTCTTATCACCTTTGTAACTGTCTTCATACTCTTTGGCTTCTCCTTCCCGGTGCAAGCTGGTCTAGGTATCAAGCATGGATACTCGGTAGCAGGTTTGCCGGAGTTGTCGACGGCAGGTATGTATCGGTAAAACAGAACACCTTCCTCGTCTTCGTTTCCTGCTCGACAGTCCACGTCAACCTCATCCCTCACTTCAGTTTGCTCCTCGTTCAGGAGATCGTCAATCCTTATATCAACAAAAGCCGCACCCCTCCAGTTTGCTGTGACTCTGGCAGAAGTGTTGCCTGTCGAAAACTCGATATCACAAAGTACTTTTGGAAGAAGATTGGCGTCTTCATCACCTAAACTATCGGGTGATTGAAAGATGACGGGCAAATATGTCCCGTTGAAAGCTGTCCCATCGCTCTTGAGATACTGTACACCATGTACATAAAATTTCAGAGTGATGTGCTCATTGTTACCGGCCCGGGTTGCTGCAAAGCTGGCCATGGCCACGGTGTTGGCCTCCTTGAATCGAAACTGCGCAGTCGGGAAAAGTGTTTCGAGAAGCGTGCGTGAGGTTTTGAATCGGATAATCATCGACGTAAACTCTGCCGCTGGGAAATTGGTGGGAAATCGTGAATTAACAGCAGAGCGGTCATGTTGACTCGGAGGTACAGGAGCCGGAAGTGGCCCAAATCCTATGGGCATTCGCCAACAAGCGTTGGGATTTCTTGACCACAGCCATTTGTTGAAGATGTTTCTTGAATGATCGATCTCGTCGTGGCCAAAGTTATAGTTTGTGAACTTGGTCACTAAGGTCAGAGTCAGTCTCTGTTGTTTCTGACTTTCGAAGGACGTGACAAAAGCTTACTTTCAACCTGTGGCTTTCCGTCGATCCAATCTGATCCTGCAAGCCTCGAATACTTTTGTATGGTGTGCGCTCGCTCATAGCGAATTGCTTCGTACAGCTTCAGTCGCTCAAAGACATCAGCTGGCTTGGTCCCTTTCGGGAGTACTGTGGTCAGAGCTGCAGCATCTTCAATCGCCTGGCCTGCTCCTTGCCCCTGATCTGCATTGATGTGTTAGTAGTGGCTGGGAAAAGTGCCGGGTGAAGTGTATACTCACGTGGTGTAAAGGGATGGCCGGCGTCTCCGAGTAGCACCATTTTTCCCTTTGTTGAGGTTGGCATTTGTTCCATATCCAAAAGCGGCCACACTTTCAGCGTTGAAGGGTCAACTTTCGCTATGAGCGCCTTGACTGCAGGATCAAAAGCCTCGAAGACTTTCAACACTTGTTCTACAGAACCTTGCTTGTTCCATTCTGCGATTACGGTTAGCCCAACCTTGACTGGTGCATCGAAGTATCTTTCTGGTCTCACCATCGCGTTTAGCAGCGTGAGACTCTGTATCAGGATGAATACACACAAAGTTGAGAAGCTTGTTGTTATTGCACGGATACATGACTATTCTTCGGTCGTCTCCAAACCATAGTCGCAGTGTGTTGTGATGCTCTACCAGGGACGCCGTTATTGGGCCCGCTTCGGCGACGCTTCTGGGAATAAGAAACCTGAAGGCTGCTTTGCCGGAGCTGAACAGTTTGGCGTCCTTTATGTATTTCCTCGTCACGGACTAAGAGACGTAATTCTTGGTTAGTAGCGAAGGAATATGCTAGCACATTGTAGTACTCACATAAATGCCATCAGCACCGATGATCACATCAGCAGAGACTCGCTCACCGTTCGCCAACGTAATGAACCCTTGAGAAGTGTCGACATCCGTAACCTTGCTTGAAATGTGCAATTTCGCCGGTATCCCCTCTCCTTCCCCTAAAGTGGCCAACTTCTTCAACCTTTCATGTAAGTTGACTCGGTGGACTAAGTGCCAAGGGTGCTGCCATCGCTTGTTTGGCTCTCTAAGATCAATGTCCTTGACGATCTGTCCGTCTGGGAGAAGTTCGATGAGCCGGTCCATTGGATTCGCTCCAAATTCCTCAGCATAGATGCTCCATCTTCTCAGTATGCCGTTGGAGTTTGGACTCAGGTGTACTGCGGCTCCAATCTCACTGGCGAACGCTGATTGTTCGAACAGCTACAGCCCCGTTAGTACCGATCCATAAATACGTTGTCAACTTGATAAGGAGGGCCACTAACATGAACTTGATGGCCATTACGCCGCAGTCCAATGGCAGCAGACAAGCCGCCGATTCCTGCACCAACAATGACAATCTTCAAGTTTGACGGGCGATCTTTGAGGACAGGCTTTGGCCCATGCTGATGGTAATACCTAGAGGTATTTCTGTCACAGATAGAGGCAAAGTTCCCCATACCGGCAGGTTGATGAGTGTCTCCGATGGTAGGAACAAGAGCTGAGCAGTCTCTCATCACTTAGAAGTGAACTGACCGTCGAAATTAGAAGTGGAGAGGAAGTTGAACTGTCCAGAGGGCAGGTGTTTCTCTTATGGCACAGACACTTTCATCTAGGGAGACTCAGAGAGATGTATGGCAGAGGATAACTTTGATTGGGGCGGTAGTTGATCAGTGAGGCAACATATAATGGATAAGAAATGTCTAATGTAGGGGGCGAGGTCAACCATCCGGTCTAGGCATCTTCTTAAAGTCAGCTTGGATGTCTATATGCGACATCAACCTTGTGAGGTGGGGATACCACAGCATGGCAGCAAGGCCAAGATGTTAGCGAGTCTAGCTAGACCGGCTATGAAGGCATGCCATCGCTTCCGGTGACCGGAATGCATGCGGGATAGGCCCGGGTGTCCATTCTGTGGTTTCTGTGCGTTGAAGGAGGACTCGGGAAAGTGGGAGGTCCTTCCGCCCGTGGAAGCGAGGGCAATGGGGCAATGAGGGAAGCGGAAAAGGTGGTTGTCTGAGGTGATTGGGAATCATGGCTCCTGGATTAGAGATGATGTTCAGTCGAAGTGCCGAATCCGTGTTTAGATTGTGATCAAGTTGAGTCTAAAACCCCGTAACGAAGAAGAGACACCAAACGGAATTGGTAGCGTACGGAAGGTGGGGGAGCCGCATGTCTCTCCCGAACATACCGGCGGGCTATCAGGGTAGGATCGTATGGGCCAAAGTGGGGGGTTGTGTCCAGCAGTTATACGGAGTAGTAATGGCGCCTACCGTGATGGCTGACAGTACTAACCGCTCGAATAACAGTTGAGCTGTCGCTTCAAAAGGTTCGAAGAGTCCTAAGTGAAGCCATAGGTCGTGTACTGTGACTTCAGGTCACTCGAACGGAAATGGGACATGGAGTTTTGTTGAAGTTCGCGAGACCCTGGAGGTTCTCACTCAAGTTGGCATTTGTCTCTACCTAGCCCCTGAGGGTTATAGTCCATGATTACTTCCAGTACTGCGGGGTACTTTCCCAGCTCAAGCTCGGCAGTCATTACTGTCTAGGAAGTCCAGCCCAACAATGAGGTGCTTCCGTTTGTAGTGGGCCATGCGGGCGTCCCGTCGATCTAGGTCCCGTCCAAGGCTCCTACCCAACGCTTGATAACACACTGGTCGTCACTGCCTTATATTGAGGTGAATAACCTCATCTTTGTTAGCCGAGAGCTCGTCATCAATTCTTCCTCCGTTGTTGCTTCCATTTCAGAATGGATCCTCCATTGGTTGCCCTAATTACCGCCGGTAGCGCTGGTCTCGGCGCCGCAACTGCCCGTCTCTTTGCCCGGAACGGCATTCGTGTAGTCATTAACTACAACCACAACGAAGACAGGGCCGAAAAGCTTGTGCAGGAACTCAAAGATATCTCTCCGCTCACAGCAAAAAGCCCAGATGGCCAAACTAACTTCATTGCCATCAAGGCTAATCTGGCTGAAAAAGACCAGATCGCTTGCCTCGTCAGCGTTACAATACTTTGGATGAAAAGGCTCGACATTGTCTTCTCCAACGGCGGCTGGACCCGGCTTCGAGACATCAACAATCTGGATGACAACCTGGACGAGGAAGACTGGGACATGTGCTTCAACATGAATGTTAAGTCCCATCTTTGGTTGATGCACGCTGCGAAACCGCATCTCGATGAGACGGAAGGTGTCTTTATCACCACTGCTTCGTTGGCGGGTGTCAAAGTCAGCGGGAGTTCGCTTGTGAGCACTGTTTTTGTATCATACTCGTCAGATTGCCCAACGAAGAGCCTTTGAAGTAACAATCTGTAATATGTACAGGCCTACTCGGTCACCAAGGCGGCGCAAATCCATCTGGCCAGAGGATTGGCACAGATTGCGGCACCCAAAATCAGAGTCAACACTGTATCTCCGGGTCTTATGCTCACGGTAAGCAGGCATCAGACCAGGTCTCCGAATCCATGCTGATATTTGCAGGACTGGGGTCTTCAGTTTCCGCCAGAAAAGCAGGAAGAGGCGAGGGAAAGATCGAGGCTCAAGCGTTTGGCAACGGTAGAGGTACGTCCCCCCTTCTCCTCTCGACAAAAAGATCTCTGACATGTTTCTTGACCATTGGATAGGATGTTGCAGAGCAGGTACTCTGCTTCGTAAAGTCCAAAACCGTAACAGGAGTGAACGCCATTATCGATGGAGGAATATCACTCTGATGACAGTGGCTCATGGAGGATATCGATGATCAAGAAAAAAGAAAAGGAGACGACAAGGCCAAACACCCAAAAAGGGAACCGGCACGAGAGGTCAGGTAGGAAAGGAAAAAAACAAAAAAAGAAGTTGTGACTCGGATACCGGGAGTCGAACCCGGGGCTGTTGAGAGAGCAGTCACTCCTGAGAAGTGAGAGTCAACGATGTTACCGCTACACCATACCCGATCAGGAATGGTTCCGATTATTGATGAAAGTGATGCGCTGTGCACTAACTTATAATCTTCTGAGCGATCACTTTTGAGGGATAGGTGTGTTACGCTCAAAGGATTCATGCGACGCACCTCAATATTTGAAGATAGATCGATACCACTTAAGAAAGGCAATAGGTAACATAGAGAGAGTAGTGTGGAAATATTTCGTGTTTGCTTAACGCAGCACAGACGTGATGAAACCGTGCAAGAAAACAATTGCATAGAAGCGACAGAAGCGAGACAGGGTCAAAATATATCTCGCCTTTTGTCATTCAATAAAAACCATGAAGCTGAGGCAGTAAGTGGTATTGAGATTGTTCAACTTTGCACTACAACGGAACACGCGGAAACAGTGCAAAACATTCATGTTGACAAAGCGTTGGCAAAATCACTCGCCAACCTCCCGATCCGCATGCCAATGAATGTAGGAAATAACCGGCCACCGCCAACTGACATGGCGGATCTGCTTGCCCCAGACATAGAGCGGCGCTCCCATCAGGAGCACGGCAGCCGAAAGCGCCGCCATGGTGCCATAGGCGTTCTGGTACCCGGACTTGCTGACCCAGGGGTTCGTGTAGAACGAGAGCAAGAACCCGAACAGCGCCTTGAAGCCCATTACTGCCAGCGTGATCTCCCCGGCTACAGGCCGGTAAGCGTCGATGACATAGACGAGGCAGATATTGGTTGCTTGGGTGATGGAGAAGTTTACTAAAGGGACGTATTTGTTAGCCAGAAAGTCGCAAGTTGGTAGATTGTGAGACAGGTGTGGTGAACTCACACAGCCCCAGACCAATAGTAGGCACGATCCAATGCAACTTATGCTCTATCCCCACGCCATAAAGAACTAGCGCTAACGGAGTCGTGATAAGCGACGGCAGCATAGCAGGAAGACGCATCTCCGGATCCCTCACGCCGCCGTTGCGCTTCGTGAACCAGTCTGCCACCTTGTCGCCTAGCTGGCCTCCAGCGGGGATGCCCAAGAGAGCACCGATGATACCGCTAATAAAGCAAAGGCCGACTTGCCATGACGCAAAGCCGTAGGTCGTGTTGAAGGCGACATCAACGTTCGAGGTGACTGCTACTAGAAAGCCGATGGTGACGGCTTGGATGAGGGCGGCCCAGAGCACCGGGGGGAGACAGATTAAGCCCATGGGTCGAACGATCAGTTTGAGGATGTTTTCGGTGGTGAGGGTGCGATGGAAGATTTTGAGTGATGGCAGGTAGGACTGTTTGGCGGGGATAGCGGTCTCTAGACGCTCGGTGTCGTGTGTTGTGGTCAAGGATTTTTCGGACTTTTCCGTGCCGGGTGCGCATGGTTCGTTGTTGTCCTGCTGGTTGCGAATGTACGCCGTCTCGGGGAAGGTGAAGATTGCTAAGAGTAGCACGAATCCGATCAAAACGGAGGCAACTTGGTAGATGGTCCTCCAGGTGTGGTTGATAGTGATCAGTCTTGAACGATGATTAGCTCTTAATATCAAGTGATCGAGTCCCAGGGAACCTTACCCAGACACTAACATGCCTCCAGTCACGCCAGCTGACAAGAAGGCTGTGTAGAATGCCATCACGGCGCCTCGTTCATGCAGGAAGAAGATGTCAGAAATGGTAATAGGGGCTGCCGGTTACCGTGTCAGTTATTGTACCTTAAGAACTCTGACCGCACGTTGTCACATACCAATAGTTTCCGCGGCACCAGCGCCAAAGCCCATGAGGATTCTCCCCGCTAGAAAGCCATGATAAGAGCGTTCAAAGCAGAGCCAGATCGCGCAGGCCTAGAAACTGAAGTGTAAGCGACGAATGGCCGAGGGAAAAAAGAGAGAGCATCGATGACTTACGATATAAATGACATAGCTAAATATGTACGTAGGCCGCCGACCGTACTTATTAGCTATTGGGACCCAGAAGAAATTCCCAAGGCCCTGCATCAGGGACGTGGTGGTGAAGAAGTATGCGACTTTGGCTATTGAGTCATTGAAGTAGCCGATATCTGAAGCTGGATTTGCCCCTTTGAAGAAGTCTCCCGTTGTTGAGATGATCGCAATTGTTGGACCGGCTGCCAGGAAATTGCACATCATCATTGCCAGGCAGATAACTGTCGGTGTGAAGAGTCAGTATCCATAAGGGTAACTATCCGCCAAGATACCAAGAGCTTGTGGTCAAGGCACTTGGTTACTGACCACTTGCAATGTAGTATTTGTATGCTTGAGACCTGTGTTCTGTGTCAGCCATTGTAGATATACCGCAAAGAATGAATAAAAAAGGGTTAGACGAACCAGTTTAGAGGATCATTGGGGTCTTTCAATGGAGTTGGAATCAATATGATCTCGCTCGTTTCAGGATCACGTAAACGGACATTTCCCAGAGTCCTTGAAGGGGCCATTTCGATATGTTGCGCTTCATTACTCCCTTTGAGCTTCATGGCTATGTCGTTTTGTGTTGAAATGAGGCCGAGAGATGTCTTCAGGAGAACTCAAGCAGAAATGAAGAGTGATGTAACTGAAAGACTGGGAAGTATTCCAGACTGAGTAACGGTAACAATGCCAACACAGTGAGGTGTCCAGCAAAGGGCATAGGATGGCCAACCTTCAATGGACGTCGAAGCAGGGTGGATTAATCGATAGGTCTTCTTATACGTAAGAGTCTTTGCCGAAGGTCGTTTATTTTCGGCAAATAAGACACCAGGAGCACCCCTCTTGAATCTTCTTCAACTCGGACTGTCTAGACTGTGGTCGATATGTGGCAGGTCTGGCCGTCCATGCAACGCTCAAGAGCCAAGGGTCTTCTGGCCTGCAGGCGATTCCTTCATCACAGTCACAACACGGGATGGATGGCGTTTTCACTCTGATAGCCTGGTGAGTTTATTTTCTTCGCCCCTGATATTTGTTGACCAACGGTTGTAACGATAGGGGGGATGAGAAATAGCACACAACTCGGTGCAGAAATGAAGGTATAATACGAACGGTCAGAAGCCAAACAACGTCCACTGAGCCTGTTCAGCTTTTTCGGAGCAAGTACTTAGACCGCCAGATGAATAAGGGAAAGGAGCTGGCATTTATCAAAGAAACATGGAGTATAGACGTATGTCGCATTTCGGGGACGAGTGAAGTGGGTAAGGTGCGAAGAGGAGCTGATGTGCCTTGCTTACCGACATCCGGATGACTGGCTTGAACCTGGATGAGAGACAGCGAGATTGTAGATGCGGATCTGTGGCCTTGGCAAACAGCCCTAGGCGAGCATCACCGTATACAACCGGGCCGTGCTGGCGCCATAATGTACATGGTCTCATCTTGACCGGTGGCTGCAATGTCTTGGGGCCGATAGGTGCCAATCCGAAGATTGATTATAAAGAAGCCAGCCGCATCAACACCTTCAATAAAAACCACGGAGTACCACATAACGGAGGATATTAGGAGATGCAGAGTTGCTAGATGTGGTATCCGTGTGTAACATTATTGCCCTGATGTCTGGATTGGATCAAGCTGAGGGATCGTTGAACGGACCGTACCGAGTGGTTAATCGGAGTGATAGGGCAACCATTAGGACCAATGTGTTGTCGACGTTGTTTCTCTTTTGCTGAGTGCACAAAGCTCGATACCGACACAAACGGCGATGTCCAAACGAGCTTGAGCTGTACACCGGAGGCAGTAAGCTACTAGTAGGGCTTAGCGGGGATCGACGCGGCTGATCAGAATTACCTAAAGCTGTTAACTTGAGATGTCGCATTTACCGCCAATTTCAGAATCGCCCATCTGACTCGGGGATAGCTGAGCTACTCCGGAGTTTTGGCGGGATTCGCTGGATACGAGTCTGATGTGTTCAAGTTCTGGGATCAACAGGACCAGGGGTAATCCGCGAGGATTTCAGTAGACAGAACTAAATGACAGAATCCCATCTAGACAACCGGAGTCAAGTGCGTATAAACACATTGTTTATAGCACGCATTTCGTCCATCATCGGTCCTGGGTTGAGGCAATGGAAAAGCCAAGGTATGGCACCTCAGCCAAAGACTTGAAAGCTCCGGTCGTGATTCCGAGCCTGTATCGACAGTGAAAGGCGGAGGCGGAGGGAGGTGGTCACGGGCCGGGTCACGGTGGGAGGTTACAATCTGTGGGTGATCCTGAGATGGGACGGAACTGAAGCTCGGAGGGGGAAGGGTAAGTGAACAGGACTGGAATGCTAAGAGGTGTGGCGGTGCACGCTTAACTACTGTAGTAAGTTAGGCTAGTTAATTGAGGCTTAAAGTAGCTTATGTGGCTGGAGCTTAGGGAAGTTGTGATTGTCACCGTCTTTCTATTGGCCAGGAACAGTGAATGGGGTTTATGGATCACGCTAGTGTTTACATCACTCGTCGTGCACCGCAACAACCATCGGCAATCTTCACGACGCGGCTCACCAACAGCAAAGAGATTCATCCAGCTTGAGAATCAAGAACCATCACCTCCGGCGCAATCTTGATCACGTTGAAAATAGAGTCGCCTGATCAACCGCTTCTCATTGGTTTATTCATTTATTTTTTCACCTTACTCGCCACTTCTCGCGCAACTCGCTTTACTTCGCGCTTTCTTGGATCAAAAATCCATCAAAATCAACAACGTCGCCCGTCGTTCATCGCGCCCATACACCGCCACAAGGGATTATCGCCAAAATAATTACCATTCAAGATGCCTTTTCTTTCCGACGCCGAGTTCGAGGACGATGGTCTTGTTCGCATTCAGAGTGACCTCTTCGAGTAAGCACATTCTCCATTTGCTAATCCCCTACATAGTCGCACATTCCCGGTTTATCATAGCTCCTTCTTACAGAAGCTCGTAAATCCCGCCGACCTGTCCGTCATCTTGGTGTATTAGGATCTCCCTATTTACCGAACTTGCCGGCTAATTCAATCGCCAGTGAGTATAACCACCCTCGTCAGATATCCGAAGATATCGCACAGCCTGTACCCGCCGGTGTCACAGTTGTCAGTATGGATGACAAGCTGGAGCTAAACGCCCCCGTTGCTGATATGGAAGGTGAAACAAGCAAGCGTGGCAAGCCATCCCAGTCCCTCTCAGCATCGCCCGTACAGTCTGCCTCCAAAAGCCCCAAGTCAGCAAAGAGCACGAGCTCTCGCACGCCTAAGAGTGCTTTGAAGAGCGCCGAGAAAAGCAGCGGGCGCAAGCGCAAGGCTGTGGAGATCGAGGAGCCCAACTCTGAAGGTGAGGAGGAGGAGGATGTTGAGGATGTCGCTCCTGCAAAGCGTGGTCGCAAACCTGCCGCCGCTCCTAGCGCCCGTCTTGCTGCTAAGGCCGCCAAGAAGAAGGGACCCGGTCGTCCTGCAGCCGCCAATGGCACATCTGTAAGTTCTCTTTTAAACTAAAGCGACGGTTAAATTCTAACCGTTCAAACAGGCGAAATCCAAGGGGAAGGCTGGTCGCCCCAAGAAGGATGCCGCTTCCGATGTCGTTCCCAAGGGAGAGTATGAGGTTGAGGCCATCGTCGACTCGATGACCGATGCCGAGACGATGGAGCACTTGTACTTTGTGAAGTGGAAGGGATACCCGTCCAGCGCCAACACCTGGGAGCCTAAACAGAATCTCCAGGGTGCCACTGAGCTCTTGCGCAAGTTCAATGCCGACAAGAAGGGCAAGAAGGCCGAGGAGGGTGCCGTGAAGAAGAAGACCAAGAAGGCAAAGACCTCTCACAAGGCTGAGAAGGCGGACGAGACCGACAAGGCGGAGAAGGCCCCCAAGGCCAAGCCCGCTGAGAAGAAGGATGCGAAACCCAAGGGAAGACCCGGTAGACCACCAAAGGCCGGCAAGGACGCGAAGAGTGCGAAGGAGACCAAGGCTCCTGCCAAAGCCCCCAAGAAGGTCAAGGAGGTGAAGGTGCCCAAGGCAGGCACACGCGTTTCGAGCAGGACGAAGGCCTAGGAGTCTGCAACCTAATTGAAGGGTTAATCGGGGATGCTTTGGTTTTTTATTTCTACGCAGAAAACGTAAGTACTTGGTTGAACACTCTTCTGCTTTGAGCACCACTGGGTGCCGCGGGCATTGGATTCGACGTTTCGCTTAGAGAGCGCGCAAAAAGCAACTTGGGGACAGGCAAAGGAACCTGGGATGGACCGCCGGCTGGTTGCCACTTTCACTCTATCTCTATATGTATCCGGGCATTCGTAGGCTGCTTTATTTCATTTCAGCATTTGTGATTGGCGAACCACGGGGAGGATGTTGTTAGCGACGCTTTGATACCCGCTAAGGCATGCTCGGAGGAGGAGAGCAGTCTGCTTTGGTACACAAAGAAAATACTTGGGGGTTGGTGAAAAATGGGACCTTTTGTTAATCCCATCTCATAAAAGAGGAAAAATTTTCCTGTGACAAACTTTTATTATAGGACAGAGCCGGTTGGTACTATGTTAAATCTCCTGTTAGCGTCCTACTGTTTACTGCAATGCCCTAACTTGCCTATAATAATAGCACCAGTATAGATATGCTACAGTGAACTATGCACTTGTAGCAGAGCGGAGTGGAAGTGGTAGAAAATACGACAGCAGTGCTGAAGGAAGCAGCGTAGTTGCAAGTACAATAAAGAGATGTTGTAAAAGAGGTCTTTATGACAAGCTGGGGTGCATATGCTCAGATAGCCAAACCTACAAAAGATAGGACGATGTTCTGCTTGCAAAGCAGAACTTGAAATGCATACTATATGGCTAATGCCAACTTGTGACAGTCTTAGAGAGAACTCTGCTCTCAAGATAGAAGAGTACAGTGAACTACACTATAAGGGTAGACTATATTATATTGCTTGGATTGTACTTACTTGCTTGCTTAAGAAGTGACTAACTAAAGGAGAGAAGAGGTTTTTATATACACGAACGTTAAGTATCTAGCAGCTTCCAGAGTGTAAAAGCTTCTATAAGTTGATAGGAGTGCTTATAGGATTACTATATCATGAAAGAAATGAACTGAATCTATGAGCTTCTGGTGTATTTCATGATAACAAATTAGTCTAGAAGAAATGCTGAATAAGTTAGAGAATTCCAGAATACAATGGCAAAACTTTTGTATTCTAGCACTTTCTGTAGGAGCTAAGTGGATTGATTTTGTGGAAGAAATAGTTCAATCAGCCTTTTATACTATAAGGTAGTACAAGGCAGTTACAAAGCATAGTACTAGCTACACGTTAATATAATTAAAATGAAAGTATTTTTATGAATCATAATAATAATAATAATAATAATAATAACAACAATAAAACTATACTTAAAATAGTATATAATAAAAAAGACAACAATAGAAAAAAGGAGAATAATTAAACCTATCACAGGGCGAGAGGGTACCATTGAAGGTAGAGTAAGATATGTGTTGTTGTACGAATGGGAGGAAAGGAAGTGCATAAAAGATTAGCTATATAGGCAAGAGCTCAATAGGCTAGTCCGTGCGCGCGCACGTGAGACTGCACGTGACTGCATAATATGTGACCAGTGCGTAAGTGCATAGCTCTGGGCTATGACATCAGCTCCAGTATAGCATATGTGCAGTCAGTATAGTGCAATCATATCACAAGCTAACCTTGTAATAAAACTTTATTAATACTCTTACCTATTACTTCCAAACTTCCTATACGAATTAAATTTTTAATACTAATCGTATTAATTTTATACTATTTTACTTAGCTACTTTTACCTTTATACTATTTTATCTTACTTTTAATTTTATATCTACTCCATTACGAATATGAATTTTCAAATAAATATTAAACTAGTTAGTTTTGAAATTAGTAGGCACTAAAGCAAAATTTTATATAGAAGTACAAATAAAGATACAAAAGTAAATTATTTTAAAGAATACACTAATAAAAAGTAGAAGTGGTTATTATAAAAGATACAGTATAGTTGACACAGATACTGGCCAAAAGAATCAATAAGGTTCTATGAAGAGAGAAGAGGAGAAAAGAACACCTCCTGAGCAGTCTAGCCGGCTGTCCTAAAAAAGAGACGTGCGCGCGCACAGGCTAATGTTGCCTGCCGCGAGAGTAGAGCACTTGTCTGGCAAGATTGCCAGGCATTTCAGCCGCGGGCACTAGCCTCATGACAGTTATGAAGAAAGTTCTATTAATAAGAAAATATTAACTCTTACTTATATATCTATACTTGCACTTGCACTTACATCTTCACCTATATATATACCAGCTCTAAAAAATAATAGATAAAGACTATAACGATCTTATTCATTTACTTATTACTTAATTGAGTAATATCATAAACTTTTATAAGCTTTAGATGCTGTTGTATTAATTTGTAAAATAGTAGTTTACTACATAGATCGTTATTTTACTAGCGATTTTATATAGGATTTGTCTTATAATAATAGTTTGTCATACAAAAAATTTTCCTCCTCTTTTATAAGAGGATATTGATAAAAGGTTCCACTTTTCCCTAACTCCCAAGTAGCAGATAAGTTTACAGAGAGGTTAATAGAATTTTCTTACCTTTACTTAAAAGTAGATATCAATCGGAAGCTTTACATGATTGAGTGGCTGAGAATAAGGTTCATGAACGAAATATTAAACTTCAAATGCTGTGGCTCTGTGTTGATGGTAGGTGAGACAACTAACAAACCGAAACTTACCCTTGGACACTGAAGCGACTGCCGTACGTTTTGTCGCGTGAGTTGCCCGCCGGCAAACCAACCGTGCCGGCGCGGCACGGGCCATTGGGACCTCCGATAGCTGTCCTTTCGTAGCTTACCTTCTGACGTACTATCTTCGGTACCCGTAACTTGATAAATAAAAAGTTTCACTTTGACAACTTCTAGTCCCTTCTGAGCGCCAAAACTACGGCCTCATCATTTACATCCTACCCTCAATCGGTATCGAACGCTAGGCCCATTCCCCACGCACTCTCACAAATTACCGGCAAAATGGACGCGCTTCGGTCGGCTCTGCAGCCCGTCACCCACAACCTTCCGGGTCCGATCCGGGATATTGGTCTCTCTCTCATCGGAGAGTCGTGTTACAAGAAGCTGATCCTCGATATCGACCTCGAGAACAACCCCGAATGCGTTAAACTCGGCATCAGCAAGGCCCTCGGCATTGGCATCGTCGTTGCCTCCTCCATCGTCAAGGTGCCTCAGATCCTCAAGCTCGTCAACTCGAAGTCGGCCAGCGGCGTCTCGTTCTTCTCGTATCTCCTCGAGACCAGCAGTTTGCTCACGTCACTCGCCTACAATGTCCGCAACGGATTTCCCTTCAGCACCTTTGGCGAGACGGCCTTGATCCTCGGTCAAAACGTCATCATATCCGTGCTCGTGCTCAAGTACAGCGGCAGGGCTGGCATTGCGGCCTTGTTCGTCGCGGCTCTGGCTGTCGGCGTTGCTACTCTCTTCAGCGAGCAGCTCCTTAACATGCAGCAATTGAGCTACCTACAGGCAGGCGCTGGCGTACTGGGTGTTGCCAGCAAGGTTCCCCAGATCGTGGCTATTCTGCAGGAGGGTGGCACTGGACAGCTCAGCGCATTTGCTGTAAGGACAACCTTTGCCCCAAATCCAAATACACATCTCCCTTGTAGTCATGTCCTTACTAACGTCGTGTTTCTTCTACCTTTCAGGTCTTCAACTACCTCGCCGGATCCCTCTCGCGCATCTTCACCACTCTCCAGGAGGTCGATGACAAGCTCATTCTCTACGGATTCATTGCCGGTTTCGCGCTGAACCTGGTTCTCGCTCTGCAGATGGTATACTACTGGAACGCGCCCTCGGCCAAGGCACGCGGCAAGCAGAAGGTGCCTGCGGGCCCGATTCCTGCTGCGGCGTCGTCGTCGGCTACCGCTACTGGCGCTTCCATCTCCTCCGAGCCGAGAGCGAAGAGCAAAGGTCCCACGACTCGTCGCCGGGGTTAGACGGAGGGCGTGTGTTTCCTCTGCCTGGCTGGGCTAGTCTGAGGATGTGGTTGTAGGGGTTATTTCTAGTCGCTTTTTTGGTATATCAAGATTTTTTTTTGAAGAAATAAGCTTCCAATTATTGTTTGGCGCGAACTGACTTTCCGTCCTGGGGACACATGTCACAAGAGTTACCAGGAGCCTTTTGCTGATATCCGATACCTCTTTCACGGAGACTGGAGGGGGCCTGATCAAATCACTGTCCTGGTCTGAAATGTTGCAGTAAAAAGACACTAGCGTTGGTTCACCGAGGGTTTTGAGAGACCGATCGAGACTTGATCTCGGATCTTAGGCCTAGGCTTCACAGGTGCCACATGACCACGGATTAGAAAATGTTGAGATGGTAAACGGCGGTGACTTTCGACGTCAAAACAAACGGACCAACCAAGTCGCCCAGAGGCTCTCAACCATCTTGTTGTCCAGATGGGGCTTTCCGGGCTGTCATGTGTCAACAGAACGACTCTTCGTCCCACCAATGATAACAACCAATCGGTCTTTTCAGACCCTAGCTGCAGAACCGCTATCAAAAATTATTGTTTCTCTTATTCGAGACACAATGCGAAGACAACGATAAGTCGTTGGGAATCCTTCCATATCGTAGGGCACTGATACGTAATGAGAATTGCGTTGAAGTCTTTACTATTGTTACACATATAACCCCAACCCTTATAAACGTCTCTTAAAAGGTATGGATGTTAATTCTGAAGAGGGGAACGAGCATGCGACTGAACTGTCTGCCGCTCTGATACTTGCACCGTTTCACTTTCACATGCGACAAACAAGAATTATATTTCCTTTGCAGTATTTCGCAATCATATTCTTTTATCAGCAAACTCTCGCGCGGAGCTATCCCTCCCGGAATCTTTCCGGGATCTTCCCGTTGAGTTTTGTATTCGGAGCAAGTGTTCTGGAATCTGGACTGTCTCCATCACGCCTTAATGCGCCGCTAGTCGTAGTCTTCTTTCCCTTCCCTGCTCGAACGGCTCCTCGGATTTACACAGATCCCTTCGGCAGTCCATCTGCATCGTATTCAAAACGACATGGAAGACGTTAGTTGGGCGCTTCATGCGCTCAGGTCTGCGGCGGTCCCGGTCGCGCTATCCTGTCCCCAAATTTGCACGCGCTCCGTTCGCTAGTGTCTGCAGCGTTTGGCACTTTCTGTCTCTCTACTTCCGCCTCGCGCGCTTCATTCCCGTTAGGCTATCTCGTTTGTTTCCGGGGATTGATGCCGATGGTGTCCCAAGTGAAACAATATCGATGCCCGTTCGCGCGATGGAACCCCCCCCGGTGAGGATCAGGGTCTCTATCCGGTGCAACCCTACGCGGAGGGCCGGTTATCGGTCGGTTGATGGGATGAGAAAGTGAGAAAAAAAAAGAAGCTGCGATGATAAATGGTGTGCAGTGCCCTCTTGCAGTGCCAGTGCCTGAAGTGCCTCTGGTGCTTTTCATTCATCCCGTCTCTCGATTGCGCCATTGCTCGACATAACGGCTGTGTATGCGGTTGAGCGATTGCGTGCTCAGGTCGACCCCGATTTTCTTACGTTCTGACATGCTCACCTCCAAATCATATCCGCCATATCAACTGGTCTCAGACGTCGAATATTATCCACCATCCATTTCCTTTCGTCGGACCGGTTGATCACACCTCCACCAAACCAACCGCTACCCCGGATTCTGACTCGAGGTCGGCTTCCTCGTCCTCCGACCTACTTCCCATATAAATAGGGGTTTAGCTTCTCTTAAGTTCTGTTCAAGCCTCAACTGACCGGACTCACTCAGTTGTCTTGCTCATCTTACGGAGGACTATATCCTTCCGCCCTTTCAACGTATAAGTCAAAACTCGCGTCCCTCGCGCCAAACGACCATGCCGGCAGCCCTCAACTCCCAGCCGGGCTCTCCGGAGTCTACGCCTGTGAACGGCCTCAGCAATGGCAATGGCTATACCAATGGCAACGGTCATGCTAATGACAATGGTTACATCAATGGCAACGGTCATATAAACGGCAATGGTCGTACCAATGGCAACGGGATTGCTCCAGGGCAGGATAAGGAGAAGAAGCTGAACATTCTGTACATCATGGCAGATCAGCTCGCTGCTCCTGTGATGAAGATTTACAACCAGGATTCCGTTGTCAAGACGCCCAACATCGACGCCCTGGCCGCCAAATCTGTTCAGTTTGACTCAGCATACTGCCCGTCCCCGCTCTGCGGCCCTTCGCGGATGAGCATGATCACGGGTCAACTGCCCATGAAGATCGGAGCATATGACAACGCGGCCCAGATCTTGAGCGACACCCCTACCTACGCCCACTACCTCCGTCGCGAGGGCTACCAGACGGTTTTGGCTGGAAAGATGCACTTCGTGATGGACCAGAAGCACGGGTACGAGAAGCGTCTCACCACTGACATTTACCCCGGCGACTTTGGCTGGGCGGCCGACTGGGACGCGAATATCGAGGATCACGAACAAAGGCTGGAGTGGTACCACAATGCGAGCTCGATTGAACAGGCTGGTGTTTGTGTTCGCAGCAACCAGCTTGATTACGACGAGGAGGTCATGTATAAGTCGACGCAGTTCCTGCATGACCACGCTCGCGGCGCAAAAGATCAGCGCCCGTTCTGCTTGACGGTACGTACATACTGGATATTTCTTGTCATCTTTTCAGCCTCACAGGGCTGCATATGTTGTATCTTTTTTGGCGTGGGGAGAGACACCCATCAAAATCCGGAAACGGTCATTGTGTGGCCATAATTGGTTAGCTGCCAGCGGGACAAGAAGGCTAACAGAATCACGCCATAGGTCTCCCTTACTCACCCCCACGATCCCTACACCATCGAAGAGGAGTATTGGGATCAGTACGAGGATGTCGAAATCGATCTCCCCAAAGTTCCCAGGATTCCGAACGAGGAGCAGGACCCCCACAGCAAGAGACTGCTCAAGGTCTGCGACTTGTGGGACAAGAACTTCACGGATGACCAGATCAAGCGTGCGCGCAGGGCTTACTATGGCGCTGTCACCTATGTTGATGACTGTGTTGGCAAGCTACTCAAGGTCTTGGAAAAGTGCAGGCTTGCCGACGACACCATTATTGTCTTCAGTGGTGATCACGGAGACATGCTTGGTGAGCGTGGACTATGGTAAGTTTTGTGGCTACTTCGATCTTAAGTCTCTATTTTCCTAGGGTATGTCGCTAACCCACCTACGTCTTTCGCCGATCTCAGGTACAAGATGAGCTACTTCGAGTCATCTGTTCGCGTCCCTCTTCTGATTTCTTACCCCAAGAAGTACGCACCTCATCGCGTGACCCAGAACGTGTCCACGCTGGACATCCTGCCGACCATGGTCGACCTGATCGGCAAAGAGTTGCATCCCGGTCTGCCGATGGACGGCAAGTCCCTTCTTCCGTTCCTGGAGGGACGCGACTCGGAAGGCCACGATACCGTCATCGCCGAGTACACGGGCGAGGGCACCGTCAGCCCCATGATGATGATCAAGCGCGCCAACTGGAAGTTCGTCATCTGCCCCGCGGACGGCGTCCAGCTGTACGATCTGGAAAACGATCCTCTCGAAGTCAGGGACCTGGCCCCGATTCTCTCGGGCCTGAAGGCCGAGCCGCTTGCGCTTGAGGTCGAGTATAAAAACAAAGCGGAAGCCTTGTTGGCGACATTCGAGGCCGAGGCGCGAGAACGTTGGGACTTTGAAAGTATCACGGAGCAAGTCAAGCTCTCGCAGAGGAAACGCCGGTTTGTCTTCAGCGCCTTCACGGCGGATGGCACGGAGCGTGAGAAGTGGGATTTCAACCCCGTTGATGATGGCCGGGAGAAGTCAGTAAAATCGTCAGTTCATTCTCGTTGTTGCAAAGTGAAAGATATCGCTAACGCAGGTAGTTTTATCTTACTCGCAGGTACATCCGCTCGCACATGCCCCTCGACGAGCTGGAGCGTATGGCTCGCTTCCCGCCTGTTGACCGCTATGGCAACGAGCTGCCCAAGGGGGCGCCCATCAAAGTCCATCAAGCTGGTTCCCACGGGGAGTAAGTAATAAGCTTGATGGTTTCGGTGGATGACATGGCATGGCGTTTTAGAGATTCGATGGGCGTTCTTTTGGGGTGATGGTTCACAGTGACAAAATACCCTGGATTGATTTTTCTCCAAATAAAAAGTCATGGGTTTGGAATGGGCATTGGCGACGGGCATTAGCGACGGCAAGCTTGCAAGCATTTGAGCAAAGAACTCTCCTTCTTTTTTTGTTTTTATTACCAATTGTTTAGGGTCAATGTAGCTAGCATTCAATGGGTATATATCTCTTGTAAACGTGACGAGTGAAACGTGATTGTGTGCAAACTTCATCCTCGTGATGCATCCCATGATTCGCACTTTGGGATCCAGGGCCTCTTGAGCAAACCAAACCCCATCCTTTCCGACATTTCGAGCAAGTCCAGCCATCATCGCCAATTATGTGAAGTCGGTCCATCGATATCAATGACGGGCACGTAGTTTCGAACCTGAGGACCTTCCTTCCTAAGGTATGTATAATTATGCATACTTAGACGCCAACTGTCTTACAGTCCCATCGCATTTCGGCTCTGATTTCAGTTCTTCTCGTTTTTCCCTTCTCTGTCTCTGTCTCTGTCCTGTTCTCTTTCTCCGTCCTGCCTCTCCCGTCAATCCCCGACTTTCCATACCCAGCCAGCCAGCCACACAGCCAGCCAGCCACACAGCCAGCCAGCCACACAGCCAGCCTCGCTTTCTCCTTTTCGGTTTTCGGTTTTAGGCTTTGGGCTTTGGGTTTTGTTTGTTCGACCAAAAGAAGGTTGAAGGTTGAAGGCTGCTTAGGTAGCTTAACCAAGCACCAGCTCGTATATTATGATTAATGTGTTGACAACAATAAGGGGTACTAAACATATCATATCATAACCAACGGTCAGCTAGCTATCGCTTCCTAGTCACCCGGGAGCATGTATGGCTGATCATGTATGTATCGATGGATGTATGGATGTAATAATACGTACTCCTCATCAACGTCCGTACGCTCGCAATCAGGTTCATGATCTTGGCCTGGACGGAGGCATCTGCACTTTGGCCGAAGGCGGGGTCGTAGGAGGAAGGGGAGAAGTTGACTGTTAGAGAGAGGGAGAAAGAAGGTTAGCTGTGGTCTCGGTTTCGCGTGTTTGGTGCTTGCTTGTTGTTGCTTTTGCTTTGGGTCTGGTTCATGATGGAAGGAATGGATGGATGCCTGTGGTAGTTCCTCCTCCCCCTTCTCTGCCAGTCCCCGTGTGCGCCGCAGGGACACCATAAATCGAACAACTTGATGTTCTCCTGCTCACCGACCCAAGCTGTCTGTCCGTTCATCGGTATACCTGTTGGTGATCCCTCCAGTCCGGTACAAGCCAAAACAAAACAGTCATCCTGAACCATTCAGACAGCATGGGATCGCCCTCCCCAACTATTGCTGCCTTTCCCCATCTTTTCATATTCCCATCTGCTCATCTTTCCGTCTTCCCATCCTATCCCATCCCTCCTGGTCACCACAGAAACCACTACCAATCATCTAAGCCCCTTCTTCCACCAAACCCACCACATAACCTTCCACCTCCCGTAGACAAACACCGCAAAAAGCAACAAGCAAGGGGGCAGGGAACGAAAAACAAACATACTCCTAGCCAAAAACCTATCCTCAGAGAGGATGGCAATAGCGTTGATCAACAGGCACGAGACATAGATGAGGTTTCCGAAGATCAACATCTTGACGGCTTTGGCTTTGTGAGGCGAACGTCACTGGTCGGTCGGTCGGGATCGCTTCGGTTGATTGGTTTTCGTGTGTGCGCGCGCGCAGTCGGTCGGTCGGTCGGTTGGTCGCTTTATGTTATCTCGATCTCGAAAGCGGCGAGCGGCCGGGCAGTGCTACTGGGCCAGGCGGGTGTCGCGATGAAAGAACCGGGAGTGGGACTCGATCTCGATCTCGGTCCGTCGATTGGCAGGAATGGAGGTATTATTGCGACCTTTGACTCTCTCGTGTTCGTCGTGGTTCGCTTGTGTAGTGCAATGGTTGAAGCTGCGTGTGCACCTATGCCGTGCCAGGAGTGCAGTGACGGACGGATAGGGAGCTTTGGTTGTTGCAGGCGGGCAACTTGCACTCTCAAGGCTCAAGCTGTCATGTCACTGTGGAGCAAGTCTGTCATGAACTTGAGGGTTCCCGGCAGGCAAGGAAAGGTACGTACTTTCCCTTCGTGTTTGGTCAACCAGATCGGGGTTTGGGTTGCGTGTAAGCCCCTATATGTAACTGTCGCAGGTGGTGCTTCGAGTACTACTACATACACAGATTCGATCACCATCACCGATGGGTCATTATCCAGGACCCAAAGACTAACCTGTTCCGGAAGTTGCACAGACCTCTTTCCGTCGCAAGATACATTCCGCCAGCAAACGTTCTATGCAACCCAGAATACATCAATTCACCCAAAAAGCCCCCTTCTGGGCCGGCCGAATTGCAACTAGGGGTTTCCTAGCAGTTGCTGAGTAGCTAGAGTGAATGTATTTGCAATTTCTTTGGTGAGAGGCCTTGAACATCGGATGCGTTGCCAGAACTTAAGGTCTCGTAAGATGTACCGGACTAAATGCTTAGGGTGGACAGGCAGTAGCTTCTTAAAAGCTCATTCAGGAATTCATCCTAGTTCACAGGCGCGAACTATCAAGTTGATATGTACCTCTGCTCAATCTCTTTCTTACTAGAGGTAACACTAACGCATCTTGTCACCTGCCCTATAGTACTCAGATAACAATATCCCAACACTCCTCCTCCTCATCCTTCTCCTCCCCTTCCTTCTCCTCCTCATCCTTCTCCCCTTCTTTCCATTTCCAATTTCCAATTTCCTACCTCAAACCAAACTCTCTTCTAAGAGCAAAGATGTATACTACAAGTTAAGACTTTTTGAACATTGAACAGATGAGAACGACCTTCTTCCTTTTCCAACTTGACCCGTCATCACCTCACCCCATCTCTCATCCTGATGACGATAAACAAGGCCAGAAAGCAAAAGAACAGTATCAAAACATTGGATGATGGACCAACGACGGATGAAGAGGATAATTGGGTATTTGCGCTAGTAATAGTAGAGACGGGAGACGGGACGAACGAACACAAAAAAAGGGATATTGATTTGATAATAAGATAAATAGAGATTCTCGAAACAAAGGTGCACGTTGACTCTATGTAGTATGCTCCCCGCCTCAATGGAACAGGAGCCAGAAACCATGCCGCCTGATGATACCCAAGTAGCGATGCGTAATGCGCGATGGTAGTAGGTAAAAATCGATGGCCAAATTTGGATGATGATGATGATGATGATGATGATGCGAAACAGTTAGGTAAGTTGGCTGTAACCAGGGCCATGCCGCGGCGTGTTGTGAATTATGCTATGTAGGTAGGTTGTACTGTGTAGTAGTAGTGTACGAAGTCGATACAGGAGCGTGTATACTTTTGAGATGCTTCCTTCTTATCCAAGCAGCGATTGAGCAGATGGTGATGATGATGCAGCTTGAATTATTCTTGCTCTGTATCACTTCCATCCAGCGTGTCCACGTCGTCACTGATTGAGTTGCTGTCAGTGGCAGCACCATCGGTGCCCGCTTCTTGGTCCAAAGATCCGTATTTCGCCTTGTATCGCGCGAGCTCGTCCATTTGTTCCTTGAGAGTGCTGAGGACATCGTTCATGGGCGCCCGAAGATCGTTTAGCTTGGTGATGGGTCCGCTGCCAATTGCTATGTGGCGAACAGCGAGCGAAGTGATGCATGTCTGTGAATGGAAAACATTAGTCTCTTGATCTGTTGTGAATGTCTTGTTAGGGGGATCAAACATACCTCGATCCGGCTGATTTGGTGCTCCATGAAGTTAAGAAGAAAGTGGTCCGTAACCTCTCCCGCCCTTTGCTTCATGCGCTCCAATAGCTCGGTCTCTGGTGCCTGAAGTCCGCGAGCATTAGGCTCCTCGAGCGTGCTGCATAGCATTTCAAGGCGCAACGCAACTCGCCACAAACCCCAAATCGTCTCAGGCTCAAACTGTATCTCGCTGTCGGGATCCATAGTCGCCGGCTTAGGTGCGGCAAGAGCGCCAGGCGGCTGCAATGCGGCCGGGTTCTGAGTGCTCTCAGCATGGGCAAGGTGTTGTTCTGTTCTGCCCACAAGAGCATGAGGGTATACCGAGTATACGAGTTCGGGATTCTCAAGACCCTTGAGCTTCTTCTCGCCCATGTCCTTGACTTCAAATCCTTGGCTGCTCAATGCCCGTAGCTCAGCCCGGATGGCCTTGGCAGTGGCATCATCCTCAAAGTAGTCCTCATCAACATCAACTGGCTCCTTGTAGGTTTCAAGGCATCGATGAATCTCCGTAATAAAATCCGACGATACGGTAATCTGCCCTCCGTCAGCGACAGCGGAGATACGAGAAGCCTTGTTGACCATGGGTCCATAGTAGTCCATTCGTCTCGTGACCGGATCTGGCTCAGCCAAGGGTTCACCCCAATGAGCACCCATGCGAACCGAGAGACCTCTGGTGATGAGATTGTTGTTTCGGTCATAGGTAGGCTGGCAGCTGCTGTTACTTAGCACTTCAGGAGGCCAGTCAACTGATAGCAGCTTCATTTGCACGGCGAAGCACCACAACAAGGCAGATGTAGCCGTGGGGAAAGAAACCATGAACGCGTCTCCTTCCGTCTTGACTTCGAAACCACCAATCATCCTGAGCTGTCGACGCATGACATCGTTGTGTAGCTTGATAGCCAACCTCATGGCTTCGGGATAATTTTCCCATAGCTGCGTCGAGTTCTTGATATCGGTGAACACGATGGACAGCTGGCCTGTTGGAGCTGGGACTTCCGCATTAAGGCGTATGAGATTAGAGTCCAGGGGTCCTTCGGCCCGCACCTTCCTTCTCTTGTTCCCGCTCGGCGGCGCATGAGTAGGATCATCTTGCGGCATCGAGAAAGCAGAATTAAACTGTCCCTTGAATCGCTGCGCTTGTCGTTGCTTTAGGTTGGCGACGCCAATCATCATGATCAAGAGCTTGTTCGTTGAACCATAGGCTATCGCAAGGTCGCGAAGCTTCTGAGAAGCCTGCATCAAATCGCTGCGACACTCGCGCGCCACGTCCACGATCAATTCTGGCCGAAGATGCTCCCATAATTCCTTGCTGGCAATGAGCACTGTCTCATCTTTGTCGTCAATGGTGTGCTCGGTGATCTCAGGCGCTGCCTGCACTGCTGGTAACAGCTCAGTATAACCGAACGCACGAGACACGTTGAGAACGTCGTTAAGTCGTCCATTGCGCGAAACCCAGCCTCCAGCATTTCGAATGCGACTGCGCTCAACTGGATCCGCCGGGTCGTGCTTTTTGGTCAGCATCTTGAAGGAACCGTTGGCTTGGATGAGCATGCCCTGTACATCGCCAACGTTGGCGACATACAGCTTCAGCTCGCTCAAATAAGCAACGGTAGCCACGCAGCCCGAATTAAGGTCTTCCTTGGTCAGAACCGTATGGGTATAGTTCCTGCCAGGGTGAGAGTCAAGCCCCCTTTCGTCTGCGTTGTTAGAGAGATTCATCAGAAGCTTGTTGACTGACAAGAAAGTGCGTCTCAAGGCATCCACGGGATTTTCGTTCGGCTTCCCCTTGACTTTCTCAAGCTCTAGTATGAACAGTCTGCTAAACTCTTCATAGAGAAATTTGGCAATCTTCGAACCACCAGTGCTGAGCTCCTTGCCATCGAACAAGGCCACGAGCGTGTCAGTTTCCACAGAGCCCAAGCGAGGTACGACGAGGTCAAAGAGAGACAAGTGCTCATTCTTGCCCAGTGTATCCGCCATACCGTACGGTAGGTAAGCACCAGCCTTCATTTCGGAGGTTCTGACACGGCGGTCTTCTGTCTGGTCAGGGATGTTGGGCAAAGTATGGGTTACTTCCATCAACCCAAGCACACGAAGATTCGTCAGCTTCGAGAAGTCGGTATCGGCAAAATCATCGTCTCTGTAGCTCTGAGGTTGACGGTAATTGTTCTTGATCTCCAATCGCTTGTTGCCAGAAAGGTTCAGGTACCGCAGATCGCGGTTGAAATTCCAGTTCCAATCGTAGGGCACATTGGTGACGTTGTACTTCAGGTTATTGCTACTACAATCCAGAACTTGAAGCTTCTTCGCCCTCGATATTTCAGCCGGTAGGTTGATGAACTTGTTGCCATTGATGTGCAGGGTCTGTAGGAGACAGTGCTCCTCAAGGAAGTCCTCTGCAGGTAAGCTAGTAAGTTCATTGCCAGAAAGATACAACTCCACGAGTTGAGGCCATGACCTGATCGTCCCTTGGGGCATGTCGCTCAAATCGTTGCAGGAAAGGTTCAAAAGTCGAAGTTCAGGGAGGTGCTTGAGCTCTTCGAATACGTCGTCATCTAGCTGGTTGTCCGCAAGATAGAGGTTCTTCAAAGATCCCGAAAACGTGTGGGTGAATCGGTAAGACAGACTGGAGTCTTTCCTAGAGCCGTTGATCGGGGTTATCACTCCACTGCTGCTCTGCGTCGTAGTTCGCGAGACGACGGAGGTCTTGCGCCCTCCTTTGCCATAAAGCGATACCATGGAGCTCTTCCTATTGTCGGGTCCTGATGGCACGGGTGAAACAGCAACGCCGAGGAGTGTACTAGAAGCCTGACTAGGGCGTCGCGACGCATCCCCGTTGAGGTCGTCCGTGCTAGGTGTCTGCGAAA